GACCGTTATACGATGTCCTCGGTAGAAGGCATCGAAGATTCGAACTTGTGAATGGCGGTGCCGTCGGCACCACGACTCAGGTTAACACGCGCTTCCAGGGATGAAAAGTCGCCTGATGCCGGTTTTGTTACGTGCTCTTGACAGCCACGCAAAGCTTGAAATATGGGCTATCCCGGTCTACTTTTCAGCTAACAGGGGCATTTTCACTTAGACAGGTCCGACCTCCGCTTTCCCCGGTCCGGTAAGGAGGTACTCACTTCCCGCTGTGGGAATCCTAATACCGCTTTTTTTCAACGCCGTCTACCAATCTAAGGGTCGACTTCAACCCAGCCCACAGCAAGGAAGCAGCAACATGAAGCCAATCACAGATGTTGAGATGTCCGCTGCTGCTTCGGAGAGCAACCAGTCCAACAACGACGAAGTGGAACCGGTAACCCCTAGAGAGCCCGGCCAATGGCGGAGACGTTTGAATTCGTTGAAGTCCCGCGTGGTACCGCAGATACCCGGCCAACGAGAACAGCCATCACGAGAAGGGTCTGCGGGCCTACTGAGCAAGATAGTACTCAGCTGGCTAACGCCTCTTATTCACGTAAGCCTGACACCAAACAAAATAGACCGTGTGAGTAACACGATAATACAGCTTGGCTACCAACGGCCTTTGGAAATAAACGATATTTGGTTGGTGAACCCTGACCGAGCTGTGCCGGGCCTGGAAGAGAGGTTTGAGAACGAGTTCAACCGGCGCGTGGCGAATGGAGCTCCACGTCCTCTACTCAGTGCACTCTTCACCACATTCAAGCGCAAATTCCTTCTAAGCGGTATTCTACAACTTGTCGCTACCATAGCTCAGGCAATAACCCCATTCTTCCTGAGGTACATCATCGCATTTGCTACAGATGCTTTCAACGCTCAACGAGACGGGAGCCAAGGCCCCTCCGTTGGTTATGGCGTCGGATTGGTCATTGTCATGACGGCTTTACAAGGCATCATGGGAGTCTGCACCAACCACTTCCTTTATGCCGGACTCTCAGTCGGCGGGGAGGCTCGCGCCATCCTCATGTCGAGGATCTTTGCGAAGTCACTCCGGCTGTCGGGTCGGGCCAAAGCCGGAGGCTCAAATTCCGAAGCCACCACAGGCACAGAAGGAGAAGATGAGAAGAAGAAGCCACAAGAAGACGAGGGATGGAGCAACGGACGAATCATCAACTTGGTCTCGACCGACGCATCCCGGATCGACCAGGCGTCCAGCTTCTTCCATCTCGCCTGGTCAGCGCCGCTGTCCATCATCATCACGATTGTTCTCTTGCTGATCAATCTTGGGTACTCCGCGTTGCCTGGGCTTGGAGTCTTATTCGTCTCCGCGCCCCTGTTCGGCATGGCGACCAAAGTCCTCTTTGCGAGACGCGGCGTCATCAACAAGCTCACGGACAGGCGCGTCAGCATTATCTCGGAAGCCTTGCAGTCCATCCGGTTCATCAAGCTCTTCGGGTGGGAGCTGAGCTTCCTACAACGGGTGGAGAAGGTGCGCAAAGACGAGGTGAAGGCGATCCAGGCTCTCTTGGCTCTTCGCGACGGTGCTCAGTCGATTGGGATGGTGATACCGGTCTTCGCGTCCATGTTGGCTTTCATCACGTACTCGACGACTGGGAACCACCCGCTGACGCCAGCCCCGATATTTTCTTCCCTGGCACTATTCAACCAGATGCGTTTCCCCTTGAGCATCTTTCCCGTGGCTGTCGGCCAAGTCATTGATGCACTTGCCTCAGGGATGAGAGTCCAAGAGTTCCTTCTGGCCGAGGAGGCAAGCGAAGACGCAATCCACGATCACGACAATGATAACGCCATTGTCGTCAGTGAAGCAACATTCACCTGGGAACAAACGCGATCCCGGCAGTCAAGTGACGGCTCAGTCATAGATGAGAAGCGTGTCGAAGGTCCCAACACATCAATGAGCCAAGACACCTTCCAAATACCCGAGCTCAACTTCACCGTCGGCCGCTCAGAGTTGGTCGCCGTCATCGGCAACGTGGGCTCAGGCAAAAGCTCTCTCTTGGCTGCCCTCGCAGGTGAGATGCGTAAGACGACGGGCACAGTCGTGTTCGGAGCTACGAGAGCGTTTTGCCCACAGAATGCCTGGATACAGAACGCCACCGTCAGAGAAAACATCATCTTCGGCAGGGACTTCGATCGCGGTCTGTACGATAGAGTCACACAAGCTTGCGCGCTGCTCTCGGATTTCAAAATGCTTCCGAACGGTGACGAGACTGAGATCGGTGAACGAGGAATCACGGTTTCAGGGGGTCAAAAGCAGCGCATCAACATCGCTCGCGCTATTTACTTCAACGCAGACATCATCCTCATGGACGATCCTTTATCTGCTGTTGACGCCGAAGTCGGCCGTCATGTCATGGAAGAGGCTATTTGCGGGCTACTCGCCAACAAGTGCCGCATTCTAGCGACGCATTCTTTGCATGTGCTGCATAAATGCGACAGAATCATCTGGCTGGACGGAGGGAGAGTAAAGGCCGACGGGACTTATCACGACTTGATGGACCACAATGGCGAGTTCGCTGAGCTCATGACCCTTGCCGCTACCACCGATGATAAGTCAAATAACACCGATGACGAAGACCCTCCTGCTCGGAATGCGGACAAAGAGCTCCACGTGCAGACGCTGGAGAGGACGGCAACTTCCAAGTCCACTGCTTCTCAGATTGCTCTGATGCAAGCTGAGGAGCGCGCCGTAGAGGCCGTTTCCTGGGATGTTTATGTCGGATATCTCAGGGCAGCAGGCTCTCTCATGATCGCTCCTCTGGTCATCTTCTTGCTCACTGTCGCGCAAGTTGCGTATATCGCCACAGGACTATGGCTTTCATGGTGGACAGCCGGCCAATTCCCTCTCACTCTGAGCGGCTGGGTAAGTTTCCCACACCGCTCCTGATGTTTTGCTGTATGACTGACACACTTTTGCAGCTAGGCATATACGCAGGGCTCGGATTCGCCCAAGCAATATCCATCTTCGCCTTCTTCGTATGCGTCTCCATCTTCGGAACCAAGGCAAGCCGGCACATGTTCCAGATGGCAATGAGCCGAGTGCTGCGAGCGCCAATGGCCTTCTTCGACACCACCCCTCTGGGAAGGATCACCAACCGCTTCTCCAAAGATGTCGACGTGATGGATAATAAACTGACCGACTCTCTCCGGATGTACCTCATGACCATCGGGAACATCATCGCCGTCTTCGCACTGATAATTGCATACTTTCACATCTTCGTAGCTGCCCTAGTACCCCTGGTCCTCATTTACCTGTTCGCCACTTCATATTACAACTATTCAGCTCGAGAAATCAAGCGACACGAGGCTATCCAACGATCCAACGTGTTAGCTAAAGTCAGCGAGGCCATCTACGGGCATTCGACGATTCGCGCATACGGCGTGCAGGGTCACTTTGTCAATACAATCCGGCGGGCCATTGACGATTTCGACGGGGCGTACTTCCTGACCTTTGCTAATCAATGCTGGCTGGGTCTGCGGCTCGATGCGATCGGTCTGATCTTGATCTTCGTCATCGGTCTTCTCATCGTGACGTCTCGCTTCAGCGTTCATCCTAGCATCGGCGGTCTCGTTCTATCGTATATGCTTTCGATTATCAACATCTGCAGCTTCGCAGTGCGGCAAATGGCAGAGGTGCAGAACGACATGAACAGCACGGAGAGAGTGTACTATTACGGACACCGTCTTAAGGAAGAACCCCCGGCGCATCTCGGGCAGTTGCCAGCTGACTGGCCACATGCCGGAGGAATAGTCTTCGATAATGTCCAACTTCGTTACCGCCCGAGACTACCACTGGTTCTGAAGGGGGTCAGCATGCAGGTGAAAGGGGGTGAAAGAGTCGGCATCATCGGGCGCACGGGGTCCGGAAAATCGACCATTATTCAAGCGCTGTTCCGGATCGTCAACCTGGCAAGCGGCTCAATTTCGATAGACGGCGTCGACATCAGCCAGATCGGCCTCGCGGATCTTCGGGCTCAGCTCGCCATCATCCCGCAGGACCCGACCCTGTTCCAGGGCACCGTCAGATCCAACCTAGACCCGTTCGACGAACACAGTGACCTGGACCTGTGGTCGGCGCTGCGAAAGTCGGGCCTGGTGGACGAGACGGGCGCAAACGACATCACCCTCGACAGCCCCGTCGACGAGGAAGGCCTCAACTTTTCCCTGGGCCAGCGGCAGCTCATGGCTTTGGCCCGGGCGCTGGTGAAGGACTCCAAGATCATCGTGTGCGACGAGGCGACGAGCTCGGTGGACTTTGCCACGGACGAGAAGGTGCAGCAAACCCTGGGCAACCTGAAGGGAAAGACCTTCCTCTGCATTGCGCACCGGTTGAGAACGATTATCGGGTATGACAGGATCTGTGTCATGAACCAGGGCCACGTTGCTGAGCTGGACTCTCCCATCAACCTGTACGATCAAGGGGGCATCTTCAGGGACATGTGTGAGAAGAGTGGGATTGGCAGAGGCGACATCCTGAATCGGGGGTAAAGGTGGTGTAATTACTTTTTTTGACAAGTTCAGTGAATATATTTTTGGTCTGCCGAATAAATGCAAAGTCGTTTCTATGAGAAACCCCTACAACCTAGTAAACTTATAAGACCTGTGCACAAGTCCGCCAAAGAACAACCCATGAAGTCCGCTAGACCCCACAAACTCCGCAAACAACTTGCTCATCCCGAGAACGCTGCCTTCGTTAGTGATCGTATTCGTGTTCAAGCGGAATCATTTGCGGCAGCAATCGAGAGCGCATCTGCCGAATCACCAAATCCAAATTATAGATTCACCATTCTTACAAACTTGTCTGAATGGACCGGACGAAGGCCGGACGGGCCGCTCTTCCAGAGACACCGGATCAAGATATAATGCAAATAGACCGGTGTGAAAATGCTCATCCATCTCAACTCAAAAATTACTCTCAGATCACGTTGAAAGATACTTAAGACACAATGGCGAAGACTTCAGTTGCAATTGTTGGTGCGACGGGCGAGACCGGGCACTTCATCATCGACGCCCTCCTCGAATCTGATGCCTTCGTAAGTCTTACGCAACCAACTCCTTCGCTTACTGTAAGGAAAATGCTCACGGCCTTCAGGAAATCACCGCCATCGCTCGTCCCTCCTCAGCGACCAACCAAAAGTACACCAATCTCCGCTCCCGTGGGGTCAAGGTCACCGCCGTAGAACTCACCGGTCCTGAAGATGCACTCGTCGAAGCCCTCGCCAACATTGACGTCGTCATTTCGACAGTCTCCGTCGCCTCCTTCAAGGACCAGGTCCCGCTCGCTAAAGCCGCCAAAAAGGCTGGCGTCAAACGCTTCGTGCCCAGCGAGTTTGCGATGGTGATCCCGCCCAAGGGTGTCCACGACCTACAGGATATGGTACGTCAAATTCCCCTTCTTTAAGGCCTGATCCGCGCTATCCCTAAGTCCGAATGCTGAATTCCTCAAAGAAAACGGATGTCCTCAACGAGATCAAGCGCCTGCATCTCCCGTGGACCGTCATCAACGTGGGCTGGTGGTACGCCGGCTTCCTGCCCCGCCTCGCCTCCGGGCGGACAGACTACATACGTCCCGCGGCCCTGTTCCCCGAGCAAAATTTCGTCCCGGGCGACGGGGAAGCCGTCTGCTCCATGATCGACTCGCGCGATGTCGGCCGCTACGTGGCGCGCATCATCCAGGACCCCAGAACATTGAACAAGCAGGTCTTAGCAAGCAATTTTGCGCCCAAGTTGAACGAGCTGTACAGCTTGATGGAAGAGATCTCTGGCGAGAAGATTGAAAAGACCTACGTGAGTCAGCCCCTTTGTTGATGAGTGTCTACTTCATGATTGACATGTTTTCCCAGCTTTCTGCACAGGATATCGAAAGCCAGATTCAGCAGAGCAGAGAGAAGATTGCGGCCGGCCAGACGAATTATATGACGCAGGTGGGATTGATGATGTTGCAGTATCAATACTCTGCCGGGGTACGGCATGACAACACCCCCGAGTATGCCGAGTACTTGGGATACCTGCTCACGACGGACTTGTATCCGGATTTCAAGCAGATTACGTACCGGGAGTTCTTCCAGGAGGCCCTCGACGGCAAGGCAAGAGCAGCCTACAGCGAGTGAGCTCAAGGAGACAGGTAGCATGTAGTTAACTCCGCATTGTAATCAAAAGGATTTGCAAGCCTTTCTGGCTTGAACTATCTGCATACTCTTCTGTCCAGCCAAGGCTGAAACGGGATATCCTTAATCCAATAACACCAGCTCATGCCCCCATACCCTTCGCGTCGTCCCATCATACCTTCATATCCATCATATCGACATCTCGTCATAAAACCAATTCATGTTGCGCTCCTTTTAGGAGGCGGGAGAACCAGTTCATCCCGCCCCATAACCTCGATAGTCCGCTCCTTCCCCTTCCAAAGATACCTCACATGAAGCGCCTTTCGCCTCAGCGGCGCCGGATCCCAGAACCCCAACATCGACCCCTTCCTCACACCCGCCGGGATCTTCAGCTTGCCATCCTCAACCAACGCCGCAACAGCCAACGTCACGTCCGCAACCTCCTCGAGTGCCCAGTCCGCGCCTTCTTTGACTCCAAACTTGGCGCTCAGAATCACAAGCCCGCGTCGCTTCCGCTCGGCGTGCTGCCTGGCCTCCACGGGCCCCGCAAGCAGCGCCGCAATGTCGTCCGCCGCGGCGCGCTTGCGGTTGATGTACGACTGCAGATCGATCTCCATCGGCGGCGCGCGCTTGCGCTTCGCGAGGAAATGTCTGGCCGCGAACGCGACGAGGGGCACGGCGCTGGCGTAGAAGAAGACGGCGGGGCTGTACTCTGCGCGCGGCGAGAGGAGGAGCGGGATGCTCAGCCGCTGGCTGAGGCGCGACCAGTACAGCGACAGGTGCAGGCTGTGCAGGCTGACGCCGAACTCGAGGCCGAGCTTGGAGAAGCGGCCGACGTTCCAGAGGTTGCGGACGGCGAGGTAGCGGTCCAGGAGCGTGTTGGAGCAGAGTTCTACCTCGAGCCGCGTCGGCTTCGAGCCGGGGAGGGGCAGGTCGCGGCCGTAGCGGAGATACGCCGCCGCCGCGGTGGCTGTGAGAGACGTCGAGACAGTCCAGGAGGCGTCGTTGTTGGTGCTGTTGTTCTCGTAATCCAGCCCGCGAATGCCGCATTCGCCCCTCGGGGAATCTTCATGGCCTGCCGAGGGCACCCGCTCGGGAGAGGTCGTGTATCCCACCTCGAAGCTCGCGGAGGTCTTCATGGGGAACTCGGTGAGCAGCTGGGTCTTGCTGACCTGCGAGAAGTCGGCGAGGAACTTGATCGTCTCGCCCGGCCACATGCTCCAGTCGCCGCTGTCGGCGAAGGCGTAGGCCGTCCCGGCGCCGAGCCAGCGGTGCACGCCGACCGCGATGCGGGGCGGCTCGCGGTACCACGGCCTCCCCGAGCGCAGGCTGCCTTCGAGGACGACTGGGTTCGTGCTGTTCGGGAGATGGATGGGGTGGGATACCCGCGCTGTTAGTGATGATTCTGGGAGAGCCTCGCTCTCCACTTCGACTGTCGTCTTTGCTATATGGTCTTCATCCGTTCGGTGGATGATATCCTGGTGGAACTTGAAACTGATCATGGGACATGGCCGCTGCTCAGCCAGTTGGATTATACGCTTGCGAGGGATCGTCAGTGGCAGCAGAGGCTGGTAACGATCTGCCAGCAACGGTAGCGGAACTCGATAAATCTCTTCAACGATGCCATACACAGACCCCGTCAGAGTCAGCTGTGGCGGAGGCAGATACACCATCGACTCCCTCGCCTGCTCAACCCCCTTCTCCTCGGTGACCGCGATAGACGGCACTTTTTTCGACACGGCCAATCCACACTGGCCAAAATTAAACGTCGATCTATCCAGAAGACGCCCCCAGGCCGGCAACCCGACTGTGACGGAGTGGCTCAACGTAAAGTCCAGCGGCGTCAGCGCAGAACTCTGCCTCACGGCCTTGGACACGTCGAACCGGATCCCCAGATCCGACGACGTCTGGACCACGTCCGCCGCCCTCTGCCGCAGCTGCTCCTTCAGCGACAGGTCGTACGCGTACCGGTAGTCCTCGTCGACGGGGAACTCGGGCACGTCGTGCGTCAGATCGCGCAGCTGGCTCGCGTCGTACAGCGCCCGCCGGTGCGGGTCGATCAGCGTCTCGAAGCCGCGCTGCACCTGGCTGAACCACGGCTGCGCGATCGCGTGCAGGTTCTCCGGCAGCCCGTCCTTGTGCAGATACAGCAGCAGGCGGTGGTAGGCCTTGCGCACCTGGTCCGGGGTGAGCGTCGGGTCCTTGGGCAGACACAGCAGGTCGTAGTAGTCGCCCTCGACGCCGTCGGCCTCCTGCTGCAGCGCCGCGAGATCGCCAACGGTGACGGTGCTGTCGTCGCCGCCGCCGACGTCGTCCATCATCTCGGAGGCGAGGGTCATGCGCTCGAGGTAGGAGGAGGCGTCGTCGTCGCCGAACTCGTACTCGCGGCGGGTGGCGGCGAACTGCTCGTTGAGGGAGAAGCGCGACGCTGTGGAGCGCAGGCTGAGGTTGCTGTGGTTCGCCGGGGCGTGGAGGTAGGTATAGTCTTCTCCCCAGACGGCGGAGGATCGGGCGGAGGAGTTTCGCGAGGGCCCCGCGCCGCCGCGGGTTCGGAGGACCCGGAGGCTGCCGGGGCGGCTGGAGGGGTCAGCCATTCCTTTTTTGCGGTGTTTTTTGCGGAAATTATTACGGAGGCGGAGGGGGGGAATTGCGGCGGCGGCGGGGTTGAGCTGAGCGACAACGACAACGACAAAGGAGAGTGACGAGAAGGTGGGAGAGGGGGAATCGAGAGGAAGATGGGCGCAAAGCGGTCGGAGGAGGAGGAGGAGGGCTGGTGATATTACTCACACTTCTCTCGGCCGACCCTCTTGTTTACATTGTCGGGGAACAACAGTTCGTTCGTTCGTGGTCATGGCCGTCAAGCTGGGCGGAGATCAGGGGGGCCAATTGGTGCTAATCACACGGCGCACAGGGGTCCATCCCGGGAACGGCGTCATGTTCTGCTGTCGTTTCTTGGGTCGCCCAACGTCGGTTTTGGGCGGTTCTTGAGGTTGTTCGTCCGGGTGGTGACAAGGGTATCCCCGGGTTCATACTTCGTTGGAAGCAACTTGTTGACCAGTGTCGCAGCATATTACCTAATCGGCGCTGAGATGGAGGGCCGTAAGCTGCTTTGTTATCGAGATCTACTGGCAATCAACTGACTGTTCATGAAGTCAAGGGTGAGATGTTATCCAATTTGAATGACGTAGTATTTCTCCTTGAGATTTCTTGAACCAGATGTTTGCAGCAATAATGTGACCATTCACTCGCTGTTGTTGTAATGGAGCGGATGTTATGCGACGGCCCCACTGCGCCGGCAAAAGAGCCGGAGGCTGGGTTTACTGCTGCCGTCTTACTTCGTGCTTTCAGTCGTCTTCAACAACTTGGTCTTAATGACATTCTCAGAACAAACTCACAAAATAATGTCACACCTAATGAGATTGAAAATGCAGCACGTATTGGAATTCCAACGTCTAACCAAAAGGGAGATAAGCTTAATGACCCTAGGTGAACACCCAATGCCTAAAGCGTTAGCACCAACCCCTAAAGTGTCCGTTCATCAGCCCTACGACCCTCACTCCCATTCCCAAAATCTCCCAACTAGAAGCCCCCACCATCAAGTTCACCATGAACACACTACCAAGATGTCAACTCTCTTCTTGACCCCGCGGGACCGCTACCCCTCCGACTCCAAAGCCCCGCAAGCCTGTGGCAGCTGCAAACGACAGAAGCGCAAATGCGACAAGGCGTTGCCGGCCTGCGGGCTGTGCACCCGCATGGAGCGCCGCTGCGACTACGTCGAGTCCGCTCAGGCTGCCCCCACGGCGGACGACTTTGCGGCGCTGCAGCAGAGACTCGCCGAGCTTGAGGGCCGTATCAACGACAATGGCGGCGGCGCGTCCGGCGGTGTTGGCGGGGTGGCTACCAGCTCCGGCCCAAGTCCCGTGTCGGACCCCTCCGCCTCGGGACCGAGCATCAACAACGACTCGCCGGCATACCCTGCCGTGGAGCCGCTTTGGGAACAACAGACGGCCTCCCAGTTCCCGCCAGACGTCTTCCTCGACATGGCAACGTACGAATGGCTAAATCAGCCAGTCCCCAAACCTTTTATCGAAGTTCCTGCCGTGCGTCCTCTTCTCCCTCCCTGGACCCCTATCTCTCTAACACCATCGCAGGAAGTCCTCCAACACCTGGGCGACGGCACGTCAGTCCAGTTCTCCATCGCAACATACTTCACCACAGTCCACCCCTGGCTCCCCATCGTCTCCAAGAAGCGCATGAACATGGGCGTCGCCCTCAGCCAAGGCGGGCCCGACCTCGCCATGCTCTTCCTCGCCATGAAGCTCATGACGACGCACCCCGAACCGGACAGCAACATGCCCGCCGCCCGGATGCCGCTCTACCGCGTCGCCAAGCGCTTCATGTCGCTGCTGGAAAACGGCGGCGCGACCTCGCTCATGGCCCTGCAGTCCATGCTGCTGATCGCCCACTTCGAGTACGCGCACGGGATATACCCAGCCGCGTGGATCACCGCCGGCTCGTGTGTGCGGTACGCCGATTTCCTCGGCCTGCCGACCTTTCAAGAAGGGAACCTGCTCCTCAGCTCGCCGGTATGAGTCCCTTTTACACCACAATGCTTCAGCAGAGCTAATGTCAACGTAGACGACCTGGACCGAGCTGGAAGAACGCAAGCGGACGTGGTGGGCGATCCTCATCCTCGACCGCTTCATCTGCATCGGCAACAAGAAGCGCTACCTCTCGCCAGACCCCGCCGAGAACGAGACCCTACCCGCCGACGACGAGGCTTGGGTAAGACTTCACTTTTTCCTTAACTTAATTCCACGTACTGACTGCTACCCCAGGACCAAGGCCGCGTCGACCGCGCAGTCCACCACACCATCTCCTCCCCGGCCCCCTCCCCGCCAACATCCCCCTTCCCAACCCTCTGCCGCTGCGCCCTCCTCACCGCAAAAGTCCTCACCCACGTCCGCAGCCGCGAGCCACCCATCCCCGACGCCGCATCC